CGGCCCGGCTGCCCCTGTCCCTCCGCGCCCGCGGGGGCGTCCCGGGAGCCCCCAGCGCGGGGCGTTCGGCGAAGGGGGGATCCGCGCTGGAGCTCGTTCCCGGCGTGGTTCTTCCGTGAGAGAAACGGCGACCGGGCTGCCCGTTCCCCGCAGCTTTGTGCCGCGCCTCCAACCCCAGACCCGGCCGATCTGGCCCCGCAGCTCATCTTCGTTCCGCAGAGCCCCACCCGCTCGCGGTGCCCCCGGTCACCCAGGGCGCCGGTTCTCATCCCTCCGCCTGATCCTGCCGCCGCAGAACAAGACGCCGATGAAAAATAACTGGGGAGGGCACAAGGAGCCGGCGCAGCACCTCAGCCCCCGGGCTGCCCTCTCCCCCCGGGCTCGCCGGGTCCCACCCTACCAATGCCGGGCTGAGGACAGGGCCTTGCCCTCACCTGGCTTCCCTGCCCCACTGACAAAAGCAGCTTCTTTCAGGCCTGGCTAACAAAGAACAGGCAGCGCTGGCCTTTGCAGCCTGCTGGACCCACAGGGGTGCAGATGGCACCCAGCTAGCCATCAGCTATCGACGCAAGCCATCGGTCGCACCAGGGTGGCTTGCAGAGTCCAGTGCAGCCAACAGTTAAGCTGTTATTCCCCTGGTGGAGCCAGACAATCTCGGGAAATTCTGCTCCACGAAAAGCAGACGTGGCCTCTGCCCAGCCGGTGACCTCGTCACCTCCCTGCCCAGCCCCTCGCTGGCAGCGGCTCTTCCCCGCGCCATACGCTGAGCAGCTGCGACCCCGAGGAACCATCTGTGCCCAGCCCAGCACCGCTCGCAGCCCACAGTGGGCACGGTGAAGGTGAGAAGGGCCCTGCAGACCCTGCTGGCCACTCCAGAGGGCTCCCCATGCCCTACGAGTGACTGGCACCCAGCCAGGGTAAACTGGAGCAAAGCGCATAGGACCAGTGAAGCAATACAGCAGTTCAGTGTTTGAAGTGATCACTGTTTGTACAAGATTCCTGAAAGAAGGCATTTCCCTCCCCAAGGGGCATGCTTCCCCAGGCACCTACCGCTCCTCTCTGGCTAGGCAGCAAAGCCCTCCCTCGGAAGTCACGTTTTATTGCGCTGTGCTAGACTGAACGTTGCCGTCAGAAAGCTGTAATTCCCCGGGGCTGTAGTTGCACGCTGCAACCCACTGAGGCTCCGTCTTTCCAGAGCTGGCAGAGGCGTAGAGGTGAGCCCGGGTCAGAGGGATGCTTCAGAGGAGAGGATAAAGTGGCCAAATCTAAGGAATGTTAACAGTGCTGAGTGTTTGAGATCTTCAGTGGCGACTTGGTTTTAGACCCTGGCAGAGGCCACCTTAACAGAGACAATAAAAGAGGTTTTAATTAAGGCAGAAGTGTTGGCTCAGCCCGCTAGAAGGATGAGTAGGCCAAGAAACACCTAAGTAACCGTGCAGGGACATACCCCTCAGTGCACCGCAGCCACGCTGCCCAAGCCATCGCAGAAACGCAACACTTTTCCAGCTGCCATCCCACTCTCAAACTCGCGCCCCTTAATTTGGCAGCCACCTCTTCCCACCCCTCAGCAGCCTAGCTTCACCATGCCCTGCTGTGGCCATGAATCAAGCGATCCCGGTGAAACGTACTGCGTGGTGTTGAAACTTTGCAGGGACACCATGGCAACACAGCACACACAGCCCCCTCCGGACCCAGTACAGTGTGGCTTCCTGCACTCCAAGAGACAGCAAGCAAACAGGGCAAAGTAGTACTCGCGAGTGGCAGCACCCCTCAACATCTGCCTTGCAGGAAACCTTGTGGGAATCCCCAAACCTGTCAGGTCTGGTGATGGGGGAGGCCTCCTATAGCCCCTCGCTGCAAACGGCTTCTGCAAGGGCTAGTCAGCTCCCGGACAGCAGGAGCTAAACGTTTTTGGAGACTGAAGTCAATGAGGAAGCTGCTTGTAGCACAAACGCAAGGAACACAATGCTTTTGCATGAAGGTAGCAAAAGCAGTGAGCCTGAGCCTTTGGAATGGACATCCCCCTGACCCCACACGAGAAGGCAGGGAGAACACAGCTTCCTTCTGCGCTCGTCTCCACTCCCACTTCAGGAGGACTTGGGGAACGCAGCTGCCATGGAGCAGGTATTTCTCGCCAGTATGGGCTAGGAGGTACAATACTCCCGCTGCATCTAGGCTCCCAGTAAAGCACCTCACCTGTGCTGAAACCAGACACGACCTCACTGATCCACTGCATCAGGGAGCTCAGCAGTAGCAGCCCAGTTGCTGAAGCTTCAATACAGAATCTCCTCATCTTGTCCCAGCTGTGCTCCCTGCCATGGCTCCAGCTCCGGATTTTTCACACGGGTGCAAAAGGAGCCAAGCCATCTGGGACGGCTGGACCCAAAGAGCGGGCCATGCCCAAGTGCTTGAATCAACGCATTGGTAGCTACTGCTGTACCAAATAGGTGTGCCTAACGTTTCAGCGCTGAAGAGAGGATTTTACAGTCACGCTGGTGGCTTTAGGATTCTCGCTTCAGCATGAAGAACGGAAGCAAAGAGCATTAGAACCAAGAGCCATTGTAAACCAGCACTGGAATCATTTGTGGGTGAAAGTCATCAGCTCAGAGGCAGAAAGAAGCTGTTTCACACTGTACTTCACTTTTTTTAAGGCGCTCTAACAGTCACAGGACAAGAGACTGCGGCTCACGTGCCTCAGAAACCTCACTCTAGTCTCAAGTTTGATTTGAAGAGTCACAACCTTGAGTCACTTGAACAACTGAAGAGGCTTTAATTTATGTACAGTAAAAATACAAACAAACCAGTCAGTGGTTTTACACTCGATTAACAGTAGTTACTACACACTTTAGTACTTGCACAGCTATTTGCTATTTAAGGTGTATCAGTACTTTGCATTATACAGAACAGCTGGAGGCTCCAGGGCCACTGGTCTCACAGCCATACACCTACGTCACTAATGCACATCCTGGCCCCCAGCTGCTACACTACAACATGCAGGAGCCCCAGTTTTAAAAGCTAGAGAAGGGCGATGCTAAGCTTTAACATAACACAACCAGAGCAGGCAGATTCATTTTTAGCCAGTTGTCTGGTACTGAGTCAGGTACACATAAGCATCAGCTGTCTCCAACTTCCACAGAGCTGCTCCCAGCAAGAATTATTCCTGCTCTAGTACGTGTCCAAAACAAAATGTTCAGTCTTTCCAAGAAGTCTGAATCTCCCTCTCAAGTTTTAAAATGCAGAAAAACACCAAAGAGCTTTTTGCAAATATATATACTAAGTGGGCATAACTGCAGCATTCGCTCACCCACCTCCATTTTCTGCTTTTAATTACCCACTGAACTCTGCGAGTGACACGGCACTCCTCTTTCCAAAGCCCTTTGGCTCTTTAAGGTCTGTGACATTCAGGAAGTAGAACGTGCATTGGCCACGAGAATGATAGCCCTGCGTGACGGGTGAGAGCACAGGACTGATGTCTACTTCAAGAGCTAAAAGCTAAGAAGTGTCCTGTCAGGCAAGGCAGAGAGAGAGAGGTTTCAGTGTCAGCCTAAAGCCAATCTCAGGATGATGAAGATATCCTGTCCCTACAGGAGAGAATCTCAGTCCTCAGGGAGGAAAGGAAGAGGCCATCCACCTCAACATGCAGGCCTACAGAGCAGCAAATATTCTTCCAAAGGAAAGCACCGGGTCTAATCAACCCTGGTAAGTAACTGCCTGTAACATGCACATCAGCCACACAGCACTTCTGTTCTAAGATGGAGATTGCTTCCAGCAAATGTTAAACTCGCTTGCTTTGGGTTAGCAACAGAATGGAGATGAAAGACAGGCTTAGGCTTAGGCTGCAGACTGCATGTGTCAACTCTGCCTGTTCCCCAGCTGCAAGGAGGAGATGCTGCCCTAAAGGGAATTCAATCGGCTTTCCTAGCTCCAGAACATTTAATGGCACAATTCAGACAACATGGAATGAATTACATTCAAATGAGCATACAAAGTTTAAACAACATGACAGCAGCTTTCACGAGGGACTGCTTGGCCAGACTGTTAGTGTTGAGGAACACTCACAGAAGTGCTTGGGAACAGCGGAGGGCCATGCCCTGGTCTCACTGAACATTATCCCTCTCCCCGCCCCATAATACTCCTGCATGCCTTTACTGCTCTGAAACATGATAAATAGGCTACTAGACCTGAGTGAGTGGCAAGAACTTCTGGTAATAGCTCTTCGTAACATCAATCATGAGTTCCTGGGTACATTCCGGGAGTTCCCCAGAGAAGAGTCCTGGAAGAAGAACAAGAGCATGACCAACAGCGTTCTTGCAGGAGAAAGCAGAAATAAGCGTACATTCAACGTTCAAAGCAGTGACTTTGACTGAACTGTAAGTAAACACTAATAGAACAGCGAAGGGCTCTTCTCTCATGCCGAGCAGTGTGGTAGGATCATTCCCACTGTACCCCGTGACCAGCAGTCAGACAGACTGCCCCAGCGGGGTCCTGTAATGGCTTCCACCATTCCCTGTAAAACACCATCGAGTGTGTAACTTCTACAATGAGATCTCTGGCACAGCCAGGTCGATGGGCAGAAACTAAACATTCGTATACCTCAGTGTAACGTACCCACCTCCCTATTAACATATGAATAACGAGCAAGTGGATTTCCTATAGTTTGAACTACCAAGATACCTGCAAAACCAGAAACCATAGAAGGAGGAGTGCTCCCTCTGCCAGAGCCTAACGCCTGCTGGGTTCTGGGTGCCCAAAAAGCCGCACTGCTTACTGTACAGGATGGCCGCAGCTACCCAACGTAAGCTAAAGCAGCGAGTTTCACAAGTTAAAATTGTTATTTTTCAGTTCACCAAGTGCCCTGTACATTTATTTCTAGGCATTAAATGCAACTTTGCCAGAGGAATCTCATTTTAAAATAAGAACATCCACATTATCCACACTTCTGTGCAAGTAAAGTTAGAGGGTGCATACCTGGGCAGCCCGAGAAGACTGTGAAAGGTGGGACTACTGTTTCAGGAGGTAGTACTGTGTTGTCTAAGATTTTGCAGCAGTCTTTCAAAACACATCTGCGACCCTAAAACAGAGATTAGGTGAAGTTTATACTTAAAATACTGTATGCTTTTGCTTATTTCTGATAAGTTACCTAAACTTCAATGAGTTTAACTGCTCAAAATGCATTCTGTATAAGGGATCACAGGAATAAATCTTTACCCTGACTGAATGCTTTTCCCAACAAAAATCGAGTTTTCCTTTTTTTGAGGACAAAAAATCCGCTTGCTCTCGACTGACACGCACACAAGCATCTGCATATTGACACATGTCAATGCGCAAACTGGAACCTAGAATCTGAGTCGTGCAGTAACATAGCAAGGCCTTTTCTAACTCAACAGACAGCAACCTCGACTGTTTGGTGTTATTTGTGTAGAAGCACAATTCCACTTGTGCTTCCTGGAAAGGCTGTCTTCCCTGGGCAGTCCCATTAGCTACAGCATTGCTGGGACAGATTCCCCAGACAGCGGTCAGCTGGACCCGCTACCCTCAGAACAGCAAAACCAAAAGCACCGCTTTCTGTGGAGAAGGGAAAGGAGAAGAAAGGAATGGCACAGACTAAGCATGCTTGCTCCAACCGGCCGGTGCGGGTACCCTTCCACTGTACAAAGTACAAAGCCTCACCAGTACTCAAGGATTCCAAGGAAAGACAAACGGCACTCACGATGACACAGTTCTTGCCTATGTGGACATAGGAGCCAATCTGGGCTGCATTGACAACACAGTCCTCTTCTATGAAAACGTGGTCACCAATGTGGAGAGGGAAAAAAGCCACCCTGTGACACGAGAGTTATTTATTCAGGCATGCAACAGACTGATCCGCCACACTGTCAGACCCCCAAATCGCACTGTGAAGTCTCCCGTCCCCAGCTGGATTATACCAGAGGTAGATCTAATGCTAAGGAAGACTGAAGAGCAACTGGTCTCTTCTCATCTCTTTCTAAACAGTGACCCAAATGAGCAACAGGAAGACATTGCAAGTAAACAAAGAACAAGGGAAACACGTTCTTCACTTTGCTATTTTAATATATCTCAGCCTTTCCATACGGTGGTCTGAAGGCGACGCTAACCCACAAGGCAAAGCTGAAAATCTGAGGAAAAGGCAAGTTTGGAGGGGCATATTTCTGCAAATTGCTGCAAAAGGAACACAGCCCTCTGCATAGAGATCTCGGCCAAGCTGATGTATTTTCTTAAGCATGTAGATTTTACCTTCACTTTGCCTAAAAGGAGGGGACCTCTTAACCTCTTACCCTTTACTGAACTTCTTGAAGGGCGGTCTAATGACACTGCGGCTTTTCACCACGCAGTGCCGTCCAACCCGCACATTTGCCAGGTCACCACGGATGATGCAGTCGTTCATAACTATTGTCTGGAGAAAAAACAGAGGTAAGCGAGCAAATGCAGAGGAGCCTGGAGCCACCAGCTGTTTCCCCATCGTGCCAGTGAGCTGCACCAAATGAGCCAATGCACAGAGCAAGGCTTAGGCACCAACAGAACCATGTTGTGGCAGGGATGACAGCAGCGCGACCTGCTCAGGCACAGAGGAGGCTCTGTCTGTGTTCTGAGACCGCAGAGCTCCGGTACCAGGGGTTGCAGTTGTCAGCGGAGAGGGGCTTGGCCGCGCTCCCCTCCCACCCAGCCGAGCAGAACGAGGTACCGGGACGGGGGAATTCCGCAGCCCCCTCCCCGCCGCCTACCTTGCCGTTGAGAACGATATTCTGGCTGCCGCACAGCACGGACTGCCGGCTC